TTTCTTAATTTGTTTTAACAGTCAGGAAAACCAGTCAACTCTGTAGCTACAGTTTGAACCACATCTTTTTCTATTAATAAATGTACTTAGGCAAGTTGCTAAGGTTCTTAATGCTTTGCCAGTGTAAATGATAACCTTGCCAGAGTTTACATTGTACAAGTAACATTCAGAAATGTCACTATGCCAAATGATGATCTGCTCGGATATTGCTAGGTTTACATAATACATTTCAGCTGTCAAAATACTGTTATTGCAGTTCTTGATACAGATGTTTTGTAGACATTTTATTTTATGCTCGCTATTCACCTATGTTGAATTATCTGAGAGAGGGGATTCAACAGAGATCAATAAATAAAATTGCCAATCCTGTGCTGTAGCTATACCCACACAGGGTGATCTTTGATGTTTTTTTCCTCTTGCCACCAAGAAAAAGAAGGCACTATACTGTGCCGTTTCTTCACTGATAAAACTCACTCTTCCTCCTTCAAGTTTCCTTACAAAAACTGTTGTGGTTTTTGGTTTTATTTGGGTTTTTTTGGGGGGAGGGGGGACGACAAAGACCCACTCCTTTTCCAAAGAGACCACTATTAAAGAGGCAAAAATCAGAATGTGGGATCTGAAATGCTTGAGGCCTTGATGTATACTAAAGCAGCAGTAAATGGTTTACACATTGAACTTTTATGTTTTCCCCTCCACAATTTTTTAAGAATTCTAAGGGGGTTTTTTTTGTGCCTGTTTAAAGGAAGATACTCATTCAGCTGCTGGAGTTGGACTTAGCTGCCAATGAGTGGTGATGGTTTTTAGGCTGCGCCTCCCACCCCCTATCAGTGAAAGAGATGTACAAGTGCTGGAGTCCTTTGCTCAGGCATGTAACCCCATTTAAGTCAATGAATCTACTTACGTAACAAATACTTTCATAAGGGCTTAAAGGATTAGGCTCCAGAATTGTGTCTTTTCAAATGCATTATCCAGGATTTAAAATGTATTAGCTGCAATTCTAAATCAAAAAACATTGATATTTATAATGTAGTATTTCATAGGCTTAAATGTATTCATAATTTAACAGTGCAAATACTAATGTACATATTGTACAGTTAAAATTTTAAAAGCTGAATATTTTTATATCCCTGAATTTGAAGAAGTTTGTTACAATATCAAACTAGATTTGTTAGGGGTTTAACAGCAGCATTATGGATGAAATATTGCTTGTATTTTAGTCAGGGGTTTTAAGTTGAAAAATATTGAAAAATGCTTAGTGCAAAACAGCTTAATTTTGTCTACTAGGTATGAAAAGCTCTGTATGCATGGTGGGGCTATGTAAATACTCTCTAAGCTATGGCCCTCTTAATCTTGCAAGTGTTATTTATGGGTCAAGCAAAATGTAAACTATATAAATGTAAAAATCACACAAGCCTGGAATATATCAGTACAACAAAAATGCAACTCCTCCTCTGGTTGTGGATTTTTTTAAATTATTATTATTGTTCCTCTCTTTGCCCAGAAACAGTTTCTGAAGTTCACTATATAAAGGAAGAGAGATGCTGGTGGTTCTGGAAGGGCAAACTGGCAAAAAAACTACAAAGTAGTAGGTAATCTCAGAAGTTGCCTTGAACTCATATGGAGCAGGAGCTGTTTCAAGTGATAATAAACTTCTAACTTTTTAAAGCACAGAAATTTGTTACTTAAAAGCGACAACCACCAATTAAGATAGTAAATGCTAAAGCCATTGGCCTTCTGACCACCTGAAGAAAGGTAGTTAATGAAATAACAGAAGCCTGGCAAATTGAACTAAGCTTGTAATTCTTGAGGATATAGGAGTTTTGCAATAAAAGCAGCTAGAAGTAAGGGAGGGGAATAGACACATGGGTATTGGCTTACACCAAAGAAAATGAAGCTATTGCTAAAGCTAAATCAAACTAGCAGTTGCTTGCTTGTATTTTTCAGGGTAAAATAAGCAAAAGATTCTTTACTCCCAGAGGTGGTATTCACCATATAAGTCACTTTTCTAGTACAAACAAGTCTTGTGTACATGAAAGCTGATCAAAGTAATATGCTACATTGCAGGGGCCAACAGGCGACTCATGGGATGCTTCCAGCTGGCGGGCTGCTGTGGTGGATGAGGCAGCGTTTGCTTTCCTAGCAGCCAAACAGCAGAGCCCAAGGCAGGAGGTCTGACCTGTTTTCCCTCAAGACCAGACTCAGCTGGGGAAGGTAGGGTTGCACAGCACGATGCCTAGGGGAGCTGTACTCCAGTGTGTTGCCTTCCAGGGGTTAAGCAGCTCGTTGAGAGCTAGTTTAGATACCTCTGCTTTTAAGGCACATAAATCTCCCTTACCTGTGCTGGGCTGCAGGACCACAAGTAATTAACAGTGTTAGAAAACATTTGGAAAGCTTTGTTTTGCTGAGGAACAAACTGCTAAGAGATGTTCATGACAGGGAAGGAATAACAGTTACTTGTAAGCATGCTTAATGAAAGAGGGGCAGACTTGGATTTTTATCCACTTTAAAAATTATACACTAAGTTTAAAGACAGCTGTACAACTTTGTGATTAGAAGGACTTTGTGTTACTAGAACTGGCACCTATATTCCAACTGGAGCTTATACTGTGGTAGGCCCCTAAGATCACACAGCTGCACACCCAAGGCGAGTGGGAAGAGAATCAGAACAGTAAAAGTGAGAAAACTCGTGGGTTAAGATAAACACAGTTTAATAAGTAAATGAAAACCCAACTGATAAAAAAAGCCCAGCTGCTCTCCACTAGTCAACAGATACCCAGCCAGTACCCCCCCCCCTGATTTTATTGCTGAGCCTGACGCCATACGGTATGGAATGTCCCTTTGGTCAGTTGGGGTCAGCTGTCCCGGCTGTGTCCCCTCCCAACTCCTTGTGCACCCCCAGCCTACTCACTGGTGGGGTGAGAGGCAGAAAAGGCCTTGGCTCTGTCCAAGCGCTGCTCAGCAATAACTAAAACATCCCTGAATTATCAACACTCTCTTCATCACAAGTCCAGAGCATAGCACCACCATACCAGCTACTATGAAGAAAATTAACTCTATCCCAGCCAAAACCAGTACAACCTTCATAATAGTGAGAAGTATTAGGGCAATACATTATTCACAGCCCCATCAAAAGAGGAAACCTTGCACAGATCAGACAACAGGGTGGCAAAGAACCCATCCTTCTCTGATACGTGGCATTAGCTCCTTTCATAGTTGGGGTTTTTATTGCTGATTTTCATGCTAACTGCTTACGTTGCCTCTCCAAGCTGCCAACTCACCCAGTCAGGTTACAGATCTGTTCAGAACCACTCCAGCCTCAGCAGGTAGCGTTGAATTTTCCATGCTCCTTTCCTTCCTTTTTCCTCTTCCCTTTTTATTCTTCTAAGGCTCTCTGAAGGTTAATGAGTGCTAGGAGTAAGTTTTGTTTTCAGGAGCTCTCATGGTGAAAAAGAAAAATTCCTCCAGCACAGCATCTGTTTCCTTCCACCAATATTCCTTCCCAGGGAGCCCCATTGAGGCTGGCCACCAGACTAAGGACAACTTTTTACATTGATATGAAATTAATTCAAAGTATATGTTTGTTTCTACAGGGAACAAGACTAACAGCCATGTTTCTTGCTGAAGTGATTGGCATAATATTTTACTTTTACATCCACACAAAGCATACATCACAAATGGTTAAATGTGAACATTCAACATAATGACAAGTACTAAACAGAAAAGCAGTTACCTATCAATCACTCATGAATGTGAATTAAACCTTTCACAGAAATAGCACTTACCAAAAAAATCAGAAGGCTCCTTAGTTTATGAGTAAAATTTAATCAATTTTAACAAAAAATTGGATTAAGCCAAGGACAACCTTACAAACTTTGGAAAGATCTTACTGCCTTACTAGCTAATCTAAAAAACCAAGAATATTGGCTGGTGAGTTGAGCTCAAAAGAGTTATAGTAACTGGAGTTACATCAGGCTGGTGGCCAATCACCACTGGGATTGCCCACAGCTCAGTTTTAGGGCCAGTGCTTTCATGTTTTTATAAATTATATAGAAACAGGATTCCAATGTACAGTAACTAAGTTTGCTGATGATACTAAACTAAGAGGAGCTGTGGACTCCCTCAAGGGTAGAGAGGCCTTGCAGAGACATCTGGATAGACTAGAGAGCTGGGCAACCAACTATTTGAAAAGAGCAAGTGCCAGATTCTCCATCTGGGACTGGGTAATCCTGTTTATACATACAAACTGGGAGATGAGAGGCTGAAGAGCAGCCCTGTGGAAAGAGATCTGGTGGTTTGGATTGAACATGGCAAGTTGAACATGAGTCTACAGTGTGCCCTGGAAGCCAAAGGGCCAACCATGTCCTGGGGTGCACCACGCACAGCATAGCTGGCCGACGGAGGGAGGTGATTGTCCTACTCTACACTGCACTTGTGCCGCCTCACCTCAAGTACCACGTGCAGTTTAGAGTACCTCAGTGTAAGAAGGACATTGGGCTATTGGAGTGGGCCCAGAGGAGGTGAATGTTCTCGGGGGTAAGACTTACGAGGACTGGCTGAGGTCATTTAGTTTGTTCAGCCTGGAGAAGAGAAGGTGGCAGGGTCACCTCATCAATGGTCTACAACTTCCTCAAGGGGAAGAATGGAGGGGGAGGTGCTGATCTCCTCTCTCTGGTGACCAGCAATAGGACATGAGGAAATGGAATGAATCCCCCCTGCATTAGGGGAAGTTCAGGTTGGACATCAGGAAAAGGTTCGTCACTGAGAGGGTGATTGGCCACTGGAACAGGGTTCCCAGAGAAGTGGTCATGGCACCAACCCTGTCAGAGTTCAAGAAGCATCTGGATGATGCTCTTAGTAATATGATTTAGTTTTAGGTAGTCCTGCAAGGAACAGGGAGTTGGACTCGATCCTTATGGGTCCCTTCCAACTCAAGATATTCTATGATTCTGTTATTGTAAGCTTAGGTCTTACTTTACAGAAAAACACTTGAAAAAACAGATACTTTTATCATAGTAAATTTAATCGGGCTTCTAGTAAAGGAGATTCCTAACAAACTGTACAGTAATAATGGACATTTTTAATCAAAAAATATATTAAACATGATTTCAGTATTTTTTTTCATTAGCATTTCTAACCCAAAGCACAAACTCTGATGTAACACCCCAAAGGCTCTCGGTCCTGTAGACAAGTAGTGTAGTGCTGTAGTTACACATTTGCCTCAGAGAAGACTTTGCCTGTGGTTTCATGACTGATCTCGGTTGTTGTCAGAAGAGGCGGGTCAGGTCTAGCTACTGTGCCACAACAGGTTGCCTCTCTTCCCCGCTCTCCCCAAATTAGCATTCTGTAGGATCCGTGAACTGATTCCCACTCGCTGTGCAGCCCACACAATCCCAGATGCCAACAAGGTAAATTGCAGGTCATCTCCTTTGAGCAATGTGAACTCTTAGAAACCAACAAAAGCCAACTGCAAAACCACACCCTCCTGACATTAAAACTAATCAGCTATCTCAGGAATCTGATTTAATACACATTAAATATACCATATAATGATTTGCATGTGTAAAGTGCTGTGATGCATACAGTACTTTGTACAAGCAAAATCACTGCTATTTCATTAATTTTTCTGCATACCATTCTGATGAAATCTGAGAAGCTATCTTGATAAGTGGGCTGACTTCAAAGACTTTATTTCAGAATACTGAGCACTTCAGAAATGGTGAGCTTTGGTCATTAGTCCTTTTACAGAGTTTCACGTTTCTAAATGCAAATGTATATAAACAATTGTGCTTATACTTACCTCTTTGTGATTATGACTCAAATTGTCCCTTTCCTAAAACATTCATAAAACCCAGTACCTTATTAAATGTAAAGCTGTACACAATCCAATGAGTCCTAAATATTTTTCATCTCTGAACAGTAATCATGTAGCAGTGGCAGTCTCTTGACTCTCCTCAACCATGATGCCCCAACTACAAGTTGCTCTATCAGGTCAAAAGTGGTGGCAGACATTACCCAGAATCACCTAGGTTTGAAATGATGATGAATTTGGGGCCTTAGTGTTCAGCTTCACATTATACCTAACCCAAAATAATCTGGAGTTACTAAAGAGATGGTCCTGCCTGCTTTCCTTGCCCCACCTTGCTACCTAATTGTTAAAACTGATGGATGAAAAGTGGTGAGAAAGTGTAAGGGGGGAGATGGAGAGAGTAGGATAAGGGACTTTCCCTGTTCAGTGGCTGCCTGCAGTTACACTTTGTGAGGTGTAATCAAAAACTTAACAAAGGAAACGTTTAGTAGCAAATAGTAACAAAAAATTGAATTCATCCTACATAATACTGCTTACTAGTAATGACTCATGATATGGAAAATAAAATTTAAAAGGCATTTGTGGAACCTGCAACTAGAACAAAAATGCAGCACTTATATCAAGTAGTTAAATTGCTCTGGCAGTAGAGACTAGAGATAACCCTTAGTGTAATTTTACAGAATGCATCTTTAGTTTACAGAATGAATCTGAAGTTTAAAATTAAACTATAATAAATAATTTAAATCATGTTTGTGAACAATTTTGCAAGTCTTCCCTTCCTATAGTATATAAAAACCCAAGACACATTTCTGCATGTTGACCAATGAAGAGCTGCTTCTTGTTATTTTAATAAAAATACAGTGTTTGAAGTCACACTTACAGACATCAAAACATAAGTACACATACATCGGACTGAACATTTTTTCCTAGGTAACTGTGTAAAGGTTTCAAAAATAGTTTGTCACTTTACAACATTTTTGAAAAGAACATCCTTTCAAAGGAATATACATCAACAAGTACAGGTAAGGAAGAATACAATTGTGGAGACCACAGTGAACAAGATATAGCCACCTGAGCTACTACGGAGGAGGGCAGGGCTTGGATTCAAATGTCCAACAAGATCTCTTTCCCCACAAAAAGCAGATTTGTATTATGGCATACACAATGTAGAGGATCTAAAAGCCTATTTTTGTCCTTAGTATGAGCCCTCTTTGAAGGATTCTGATAGATCTTGATTGGCAGCATCGTACTGAGCAATGAAATGTTTGAGTTCTTCAATGCATCGCTCACCTATTTCATGCAAATTCTGCCTCAGGGCAAACTGAATGGACTTCTCTAATGATGGATCTTTATCAATCAGCATCTTCACTACCATGCCAAAGGTTTCACAGTCTTGTCTGTAGACCTAGAAACAACACATTTTAGAAAACAATTAAATGCAAGACTCTTTACATTAACACACCAACAACCTTCATTAAGTTTGGTGCTACTGCAGATCCAAACAAAACAAAGAATACTGGATATAACACAAGTTTCAACTGCAAGATGCATTTGCATACACTTCTGTGGTAATACAAATGTAATTAGTTCAGAACTATCTGGAAATAAGAAATAACTCTTAATGGAAGAAAAGCCTTTAAGAAAGAGATTAAATTCCTCTTGCAAATGCAAAACCAGATTTTCATTGCAAATATATGTAAAATTAATTCAACTGTGACATGTCTAGCAAACTCAATTTTTATACAATGCAAGATTAACTTAGTTTGTAATCTTTCCTAATACTTTAAATACAAGTTGTGTTCAAATAATTTCACCAAATAATGTTTGCATGTTGGATATCTGTTTCTTGTAGAGGTCCTTGACAAATAGGACTTTAATTAGTCTGACTGCACTGGTGATTCAACGGTTAAGGATAAGAGAAATCCTGGCAACAGTTTATGTGAACCTGTCTGATCGGGTACTGTGGGGAATGAAGAGTTTGCAAGTCAGTTATGTACCACAGTTGAGGAGAAGTAAGTTCTCATTATCATTGCAACTGTTTTTCAAACAAACATGTGACTGTGCTCTTAGGTGGTTTTCAAAAGGAGTCAGTCAGTGGCCTTTCAAAACTTTTTTTCAGATTCCAGCTAAGGTTATTAACCAAAGCACCCACCAAAAAAGGAACCTGTCAAAGTCTTCCAACTGCCAGATGCAGTTCATTTTCACACCTCTGTGGCCAATTTCCATTTAGAAAATACACTGGCTTTTTGAATGAAGATAAGTATGTTTTATATCTCTATACATTTTTTAGGAGAAAAAAAAAAAGCTAAAATGTTGATATTATTAAGAGTATCTTTTAATAGGGTGTGCTTGTTTTTTTACAAACTGCGTGACCCTTTTCCCTCATATTTATCGTCAACACAAATGATACAACTGTATATAAGCAGTTTCCTATTAATAAAAAAGAAAGAAAAATGCAAACAAAAAAAACCCTGCAACCAAACACCACCAACACCGTTTTATTCTTAAGGACCTTTCCAAGGGCAGCTCAAGCATATTCATGTCAGAGAAGCAGTAAAAAAAAACCCAAAACACATTCTGCACACAAATTAAACTATTCTCAGAAACACAATGATTTAACACGATACCTTTAATAAAGGCAGTTTTCACATGTTTGATAATATATTCTATAAAAATAGATTAAAACATGACCCACTTTTCAAACACTGGTTGGCAAATAAAATAAAACTTTCTGGAAGAAACATTTTCAAAGGAGATTAAGAGGTCAAAAAGAAGAGTGCAGCCCAAACCAAACTGGAGCTAAATATCTTAAGTGTGGAAATGGTATGCACATGGCATTTTTTCTGAGTGGAGGTTTGTTTCCTGCTTTGTATGTTCAGTTCTTTGGTAGTAAAATATCAGCATGAAACCCAGACTCTCATAGTTCATGTGCCACAGCAAGTAAAACACAGCACTTACTAAGAGAACTTCAAACAGAGTAAATCTGGGTTACTTTTTTTCAGACTCTTTCCAAGGAAAAAGCTCAGGAAGAGCCACTGTCTTTCATTAGCCGTGAGACAGACAGATGGTATTTCACTTTGGACAACTCATATCTTTCAAGTACTTGCAGCGTGCTTGCTAGCACCTTCACAGAATGATTTCTGAAAGGTCTTTTCTCCCCAGAGCCATTTTTTTTTTTAATTGCATGTCTATTTGTCCTATTTTATCACCTTTGAAGTGGTCAGACCAAGGATGTGTGAGTGATCTTCCACAGGTAAACAAACCTGGTAACTGTCAGTCTTTAGAGGATGCCATGCAACACCAGCACAAGTGAAATCCTGACACTAACAGAGAACACAGGCACATCACCCTGTCTTCTGCATGGGAAGGCACCCAAACCTACAACTGAAGGAAAAGCTCTACTTTTAATTGGTCTTCAAATTAATGGCAAATAGTGCTATCTATTATTTCTCTCTCACACCACAAAGAACTAACCCAGATGACATTTTCTGACCCTTAGCATACAAATATTAGCTCAATTTAAGCACATCTTTCTTCAAAACTTTCACAAAAGAAGACTTGGAGGAGAATCAAGAGAGCCATTGTCATCACTGTATCTGGAGTCATAAGTCACTCTGCTGTCACAACAATCTTCATACACGAGATGAACATTTTCAATACTTTGTGACAAAAGACTTTTTAAAAAATAGAATTGGCCTAAAATAGGGGAAGAGGGCAAAGGTAGAGCAGGAAGGCAGTTCTAACAACAGAAAACAAAGGAAACAGCTCAGCTCCTCTAATAATAATTGAGCAATCTTCCCTCAACAAGCTTTCTACCCCAGCTGCTAATTCTGATCCTCCTGGTGCAATCTGTCTCCTTCTCAACTGTGCTGATAAACCTATTTGTATAGCTGCAACGTAAACTGCATCACTGAGATGATCCCTTTTAAAATTACTTCCCCTCCAATTAATGTGATTCAGTGATTCAATTGTAAAACCACATGCATCAGCACAACTGTAAGAACTATAAGCCACAGTTGTGAAGTGGAAATAATTTCATAAACCACTTTACATCTGAAGCCAGTGCACAGCTAACAACCCTCAGAGAGGAGTTACTATGCTTTGCAAAAGGGAGTAGAGATTATCAATTACAAGAATATCAACTACGGAAGATATTAATTACAGCTTAATGGTACAACCAACTATTTGAAAACAATTGTGAAAGCACTCAAAGCTGTTGAAAAAGAGGATGGTGACATGGCATATTAAAATCCATCTTCTGGAAAATAAACTGAGAATACGATGCTTGAGAAAGAAAGAAAGAAAACTGCAGGAAATACTCTAAACAAGCAAAAAAGCTCTCTGTTGTAGAAGAATACTGGAAGAACTTGTGACCCAACAAGGTTTGAAAATAGCCCTATCTTTAAGATTCCAGCTGATGTTGATTTTGAGCTCAGACCATAGAAAGCTCATCTGTAAACATCTGGAATTAAAAGCTGAAAATGATTCCATGTGTGTGGAAAGAAGAAATAACGGGTTTATATTAAAAAACAAGAAAGGGAATAACACTAACAACATGATTATTCTGTCTGATATATATGTCAGGTAATCCTGAAAACAGCTAAAGCCATAGGGTGATCATTTACCAAGGCCCTAGCATACTTTTACTCTCTGACCTAAGCTACAGCATTAGGATAATAGAAAGAACATGTAACATTTTAGTAAGCAGATGAAGGAGAAGCAGAAACAGCTGTTCTCTTCCCAAATATATATTTATTTTATATACGCATACTATATCTCTCTCTCTCTCTCTCTCTATATATATATATATATCTATATCTATCTCCTATGAATAAGAAGTATATAAGCTGACTTCAAGTTGCCTTTGAAGAGTTTTCCAAAATCAGCACATCTGGCATCTGTGAGGTCAGAGGCTCAAAAATATGCCTACTTTTGTATTATTCTCATGGCATTTTAGCTCTTTTTAGTCTTACATGATAATAGAACAGAAACTCTGGCTGAGATCAACTGTGCTAGTCTCTGTACAAGCACTTTAGGCAAATCTAAAGGTGTCATGCACCTGCAACATGTTAGCAAAGAAAACTAAACCAAAATTTGCACTTCAAACTGTTGAAATATAACTAAAAGACCTTTACTTCCAGATCTAGCTAGAGCAATGGAGTTAGTCCCCCTGGTTGGAGGTGATCAAGCCCTAGAACTCACCAGGAAGAATGAAACTTTTGAGAACTCCCTAATCTGTGTCTGTGCAAAGTTTTCACAGTTACTCTCAAAGCCTCACTGACAGTGACTTATGACACTGACAAAAAAGAGATGAAAGATACCACACATACTCTTCTTCCAGCTCAGCTCTGGGACGTTAACCTCTGATGGGGAAGAAAGAAGGGTGGAAGCAAGCATGTGCAGACTGCTCATGTCTTAGACTGCTAAATCCCTCCTGCAATGATAATCTAAAAATGGTCTTGGCTTAAACCAAAGAAAATTTATTGAATGGCTCTTTTGATGGGTAGAAAACACCATCACCAAAACTTTGTTATAAATCTGAACTCTGGGCATGGATGAAATTATACCTAGCTAGAGGATACCTTGCTGACATGTCTACTACTCACTGACAAAGTCTGCATCATTTCCTTCCTCTGCCTAGCACAGTCTCATGTTCTCCAAAACTGTTGCAAAGCTGCTTGTATATTTTGCACAACAGAGATGCTGAAAAACAAGAAGGGAAGTCATGCACCAAATTTCCCCAGCTTAGCTCTACAGTCTGTGCAATGAAAGACTTTTTAACTTCTCAAGGTGATTCAGAACAGCTAAAACTACAGCTTCTGCTCTAAGCAGCCTTTGAAGAAGAGGGAAACGAGGGAAGTCCCCTGATAACTGGAAGGCCCCTCAGGAGACTGGTCCCACCAAGCTGCAAGTTACCTTTGGTATCTCCCACGTCCACAGTAGACATCCAACTGAGTAGCAAATGGGAGATGCAAATTTCTCTGTCTCCAAAAGGATTCAACTGAATTTTCACTTCTAATTTCTGGGATAATTGTTTTAATGAAAAGTGCCTTATTTTATATAAATGTAGACAACATTAACTATCTTCTCCAGCTATAGTTTTGAATAAATATGACTGTGGCACTGTTTCTGAATGTTCTTGGCTTTATACATATGTAAAAGCCTCTTGAATAGAAATCATTAAGAGACTTCTGCAGGCAAGGCTCAAGCAGCTTTATGCAAGAGAAGGGCAAATTCATTTCAATGCAGAAGGTGGTACTTCTGCTCACAAACACAAGCAGGACCACCAGGCATGAGGAGGACCACATCCATTAAGTGGATGCGATGACTGAGCAAGTGGAATCGATGCCCATGTTTTCCTATGTAATTTCCAACCCCTTGCTCTTTTTCACCACAGTCTTCCCT